TCTGGGTAACTTGTAACTTCCCTTTTTCTGGAGCCCCTGGGGCACAACCAAATGTGCTGGGCCCCTGGACAAGATACCACAAATTCCTTCACTATCATGTTAATTGAATTTCATGTAACTCACCTATGTCCCTCCTTTGATTGCAATGTATAAATACAAATGTAACCCCGCCATTCTCCGGAGCACTATCTCAATTCCTTGAGGTTCTGCTTCCCGGCATATGTCCACAGTTTGGCGCAAATAAACTCACAAAAATTCTTTACAGGTTTCAATGGTTTTTACATTAACATCTTTCAGCCAGACTAAGCTTTGAGCCAAGAAAATGCATCCTAAAATGCTACTGGAAGTCTGAAAACGCAGTTGCAGTACACACACTGCCTCTGTAGTTATTCAGAGCGTGTGTACACACTTTAGCAGCTGATAACTCACTTGATTTTCACTCCTTTTCAGGTTCAACTGATTTGAAATAATGGGTGAAGCCAGACTAAGCTTTAAACAAGGAGCGTTTATCCACTAGACTTTTTTATGGGGTTACATCAAAGAAAAAGTTTACGGCACAAAATGGGCAGCGGTTGATGAATTGAGGGCGCGCAGGTGCCAAACGAAATGATTCCTGGTGTTAGTGATTCCATTGCTTCTCGTTATCAGCAGTGCCTGAACCAGAAGGTCACCAGTTTGAAAACAGGCATTGAACAAAAAAAATTGTTATTTAAAAAAATATATATTTTTATTGCCCTAGCTCAGCAGTTCTCAACCTGTGGGTCGCGACCCCTTTGGGGGTCGAATGACCCTTTCACAGGGGTCGCCTAAGACCATCGGAAAACACATCTATAATTACATATTGTTTTTGTGATTAATCACTACGCTTTAATTATGTTCAATTTGTAACAATGAAAATACATCCTGCAGATCAGATATTTACATTACAATTCATAACAGTAGCAACATTACAGTTAGGAAGTAGCAACGAAAATAATTTTATGGTTGGGGGTCACCACAACATGAGGAACTGTATTCAAGGGTCGCGGCATTAGGAAGGTTGAGAACCACTGCCCTACCTGGTTTGGCTCAACTGACAGGCTTATCAGTAGGCAATAGGCTGGAGGAGACAGGATAGAAGCAAGACATCCAGGCATAACCTTGTTATGTAGCTTTTAACTGGGAAGCATGTAGTGTTTGCCTCTTCAAAAACAAGAAAACAATCTGCCAAATGGAAAGGCTGAAATAAATACAGTAGGCAGCCCTGGCTGGTGTGGCTCAGTGGGTAGAGTGCCGGCCTGCGGACCGAAGGGTCCCAGGTTCGATTCCGGTCAAGGGCACATGCCCGGGTTGCAGGCTTGGAGATTCTCTTTCATCATTGATGTTTCTATCTCCCTCTCCCTTCCTCTCTGAAATCAATTTAAAAATATATATTTTTTTAAAAATTATGCAGAGGGGCAAAAGGAGGTTTACAGTTGTGAATGTTCAAAACACAGAATTTATCCTTGTGTTCTTATTTGTTAATTATTGCACTATTTTCCATATAAACAACTGTAAACCTCCTTTTGCCACCCCCCTCCCCCTTCCTCTCTCCCATGTACCAAGGTGGCAGGTTAACGACTGGGGGTAGATGTGCAGGAGGCAGCTGATCGATGTTTCTCTCTCATTGATGTTTCTAACTCTCTATCTCTCTCCCTTCCTCTCTGTAGAAGATCAATAAAATATATTAAAAAAAAAATTCTCTCTCATCGTTGATGTTTCTCTCTCTCCCTCTCCCTTCCTCTCTGAAATTAATAATAATAATATATATATATGAAAACAGGCATTGACAAAAAATTATTTTAAAAAAGATTTTCAATCTGAGAAGAAGGATTCAAATAAAAAATTTAAAAAAGTAAGCGCTCGAGATCTCGCTCCCTCCGCACGTCATCCGTTTGGCTGAAGTAAATGCTTATACAACCCCCCACCGCTCCTGAGAAGAGCAAATGGTTGGAGAATGAATAAGCAGGAAGCAAAGAGAAACGGCTGGTCCAGGAACTACAAACTGGGTGTGTGAGGCATCTTGAAGTTCCAGAGGCCAAGAAACCGTCCTGGACTGTGTTAAGAGGATGTAGAGCCCGGCCGGCGTGGCTCAGTGGTTGAGCGTTGACCTGTGAACCAGGAGGTCAAGGTCTGATTCTCAGTCAGGGCACAGGCCTGGGTTGTGGGGTCCATGCCCAGTAGGGGGCGTGCAGGAGGCAGCCGATCAATGATTCTCTCTCATCACTGAGCTTTCTATCTCTCTTTCCCTCTCCCTTCCCCTCTGAAATCAATAAAAATATATTTTAAAAAGGAAATCAATAAAGTAATTGTGTTTTATAAAAAAATATCTATGGCCCTAACTGGTTTGGCTCAGTGGATAGAGCATCAGCCTGCAGACTGAAGGGTCCCAGGTTCGATTCCGGTCAAGGGCATGTACCTTGGTTGCAGACACAGCTGATCAATGTTTCTCTCTCATCGATGTTTCTGACTCTCTATCCCTCTCCCTTCCTCTCTGTAAAAAATCAATAAAATATACTTTAAAAAATATCTATGACAACAACCCCTTATATTCGCTGCAGAGAGCATGCAGGGAGCTCATTTTCATGAAACGAAGGGCTTTGAAAAGATGGAAGGAACTAGAAGAATGGTTATTCCCGGGTGGCCAGGAGATGTGAACAGGGTGTAAGTACCGTAAGGCAGGATGGAGGAAGGATTTCCAGGTTTGCCTTCATCATCTCCATTTTTTAAAAAAGATATTCTTATTGATTTTCAGAGAAGAAGGCAGAGGGAGAGAGAGAGAAACATCAATGATGAGAAAGAATCAGTGATCGGCTGCCTCCTGCACGCCCCCTACTGGGGATGGAGCCTGCAACCCAGGCATGTGCCCTTGACTGGAATCAAAACCGGGGTAGCTGGTCAAGTGGAATGAAGTTAACTAGAAGAGGACGCTCTGCCGAGAAAAGGCGGGGGCCTGCAAGCGGGCCACGTCAGAACAAAGTCTTGCACGCGAGATTTATTGTTCCGAGGCAGTTTCCTTGGGTCCGTGAGGGCATGGAAAGTTCAAGGGAGGGTGCACTGCTGCAGGTTGAAAGGGTCTTTGTATAATATAGGAAACTAATAGTTTAATGTATAACTTAGCTCAGATGATCTCATAGGCATGCCTGTTCACCATTGTCACTTGCTGTACTCCATTGTTACTTGCTGTACTCCCCAATAAAAGCCATGAGAGCCTTGGAGGTTTTGCTACACGCCTGAGCGAGCGGTAGCCCTCTGCTTTTCTTAGCTCATCCTGCTTGCTGAACTCATCTCAGCGTCACCGTTCACCTACAGAACATCAACACCCGGGACCTTTCAGTCCGCAGGCCAATGCTCTACCCACTGAGCCAAACCGGTTAGGGCTCATCTCCATTTTTAAAAAAATATTTTATTGATTTTTTTACAGAGAGGAAGGGAGAGGGATAGAGAGTTAGAAACATCGATGAGAGAAACATTGATCAGCTGCCTCCTGCACAGCCCCCCACTGGGGATGTGTCCACAACCAAGGCACATACCCTTGACCCGAATCGAACCCGGGACCCCTGAGTCCCCAGGCCGACGCCCTATCCACTGAGCCAAACCGGTCAGGGCTCATCTCCATTTTTTTAAACATATTGATCTTGCCTTGGCCGGGTAGCCCAGTTGGTTAGAGCATCCTCCCGCCATGCCAAGGTTGTCAGCTGGATCCCCGGTCAGGGGACACACCAGAAGCCACCAATGAAGGCATAAATAGTGGAACAAATCAACGTTCCTCTCTCTAAAATCATTAAAAATTAAACACAACGATCTGTTATATATTTAAAAAGAAATTATTTCGCAAGATAGTTTACAATTAAATAACTTCATTGATTTAGGACTCATTTGATGAGGTTGACTTTATATTTTATTTTTTAATCCTCACTTGAGGATATTTTTCCATTGATTTTTGCAGAGAGAGTGGAAGGGAGGGGGGAGAGAGAAGGAAGGAGGGAGGGGGGGGAGAGAGAGAGAGAGAGAGAGAGAGAGAAACATGATGTGAGCCCCTGACCGAACCTGCAACCCAGGTGCACGCCCTTGACCAGGAATTGAACCTGCGACCCTTCAGTGCTAGGGCTGACGCTCTAACCACTGCGCTTCGTTTGACTTTTTTGACTTTGAAGTCCTATTTTCCGGCCGTGAAAGAGAAAACCACAGGCCCAGAAAAGGGAGCTAAAATCCTATGATCCCAAACCTAAATTTCATACCTGACCGAAGCGCCGTTTTAACCTTTCCCAGAAACCTCATCTGAATGCGGACCAGTAGTTTTATTTCTTTATTGTTTTGAGTGTTTAATTCAAACCTATATTTGTAAGTTTCTAAAAATGTTGATCCACAGACCACTTTCGTTACACGTGTACCAACGAAAACAAAAGGCAGAGAATCACTGCCATCCCTACAAAAGGAATGGCTCCTTTTCTAACATTCTTTAAAAATATACATGGTACAGTCTTTGTGCCTCATCAAAGGTGGCAATGTAATAAATACACTGGCTTGTTCTCCTCCCTGTTCCGAAGGGTCCACCAACTACCTGTTATAAGCCCTCTCCTTTTTGGATTTCTCCAGGGCTTTTTAAAATATATATATATTTTATTGATTTTTTACAGAGAGGAAGGGAGGGAGATAGAGAGTTAGAAACATCGGTCAGCTGCCTCCTGCACATCCCCCACTGGGGATGTGCCCGCAACCCAGGTACATGCCCTTGACTGGAATCGAACCTGGGACCCTTCAGTCCGCAGGCCGACGCTCTATCCACTGAGCCACACCGGTTTCAGCTTCTCCAGGGCTTTGTCCATGGTTTTCTCCTTCTCCCCTCGACACTTGGGACAGTACCACTTGCCCTTTGGTTTATGATTCAGTCCTACACAGGAGAAGTGGAACCACTCGATGGGGCACTCGTCATTGTCACAGCCGATCATTTCTCCATAGGAGACCTGATTGCACAGACAGTACGTGGGCTCGTTCGGGTCGATGGGAAGGTCTGCAGGGGATGCTTCCCTCTCTGCTTTGGCCTCGGGGCGTTTCTTCTTCTTGGAGGTCTTTGCTTTCTTCTTCTTAGGCGTTCCTGAGGTGATGTCATCACGGTCGTGATTATTGGCTGCATTCTCCCGATTTTCATCGTTGCTCTGACTCCGAGACCTCTTGGTACTGGGCTTTTCTGCCTGTGTGATTGTCTCGTTCTTGGACTTGTCCTGGCCGGCGTTGCCACTGTGGCCAGTGGTGTCGTTGACCTCTAGGTGTGCCTCAAGGAGTCCCACGTGACTGTCCACCTGCCTGGTGCTGTTCTCCACCAGCTCCACCATCTGACTCACAATCTGGATCTTCTCGTCGCCCAGCTCCTGGCTGCGGATCAGGGCTCTCTGAATGCAGTGCAACGCTCTCCTCTTCTGGTTGCTGTCCGTCTCCCGCTTAAACTTCTCGTCATACTCATCTAGCTCCTTCAGGATTTCTTGGTATTTCGCGTCCACCTCCCGCATCAGCGATACGTTTCTCTGCAGGTCGAGAGGCAGAGACTCGATGGAGTCCAGGTAGTTCTCCACATAGTTCACCAGGTGGATCTGCTCCCGGTTGGCAGGGCTCAACATGGTTCACGGAGATTTCCCAGGCGGCTCGCACGGCTTTCCGCTTCCTCCAGCCCCCGCCCCCTCGGAGCCCAGCCCTGCAAAATGCAAACCTCCCGCCCGCTGGCGTCCCCCTTCCTGCCGGGCCGCTCAGCTAGTCTCC